CAAAAGGGCGTAGGATGAAATCATTCGGGTTTCCTTGATGAACGTCTGTTGTTATAACAAGCCATTTAAAGGTGTTAATTAACCCCGAGGTAGCATATTACTAATTGTACCTTTGAAGATAGATTTGGTCATTCAAGTACAGTGAACTTGTCGATGTTAAAAACCAACTGTAAACTCTACCATGATTTAATTTTGAAAAAAACATGCTAAGCAGCGTATTTACATAACTTGTGGTAATTAAATTACATTTTTTACTCGATTAATCCCCAGGTTGTAGATATCTATACGACAATTGGGCGGTAATTAAATAATTTTTGCCGGTTTTATTTATACAAATTATACTATTTTTTATAAGATTTAACTTTATTTATATGTATTTTTGACCTGGAGGTTAGTACATTAAACGTCTAAAAACATCGATTTCCGAGACAGGCTACTGGTATAAAATTATTTCTTTACACTTAAAAAGAAGTAACAGCTCGACTCTATAATGTTTGTATTTAAAAATACAAAAAATACAACAGAATTTGTTGGTTAGGTGAACTCCTTAAAACATATAATATACTCCTCGCAGTGTTACGTTCGATTAGATTTCATGGACTATATCCCACTCAAACACTGCTGGACTGACTGATAATTCATGTCACAAATTATAACTGGTTGACAGTCAGGTTAACGTCACCACCCGTGAAATTCACAAATAAAAACCCAGAAAAGAAACCCATGGACAACCCAGATCACACAGACATTGCAAGCAATAATAAAAGTACTACCAAATGAAGTGAATGGGTCCACGGTCCCGGTCTGCTGTGATAAAGACTTCACTAAACATGAAAACAAATATGACATTATAATATGTAATTGACCCTCTGTGTATGTATCTGGATTCAGTTATTTAAATTCAAGGAGTTAATGGCCGAAGTGTTGGTATCTTGCAACTTGTAGTTTCATATGGCGTGACGCTGGGCATTGGATTTCAAATTTGATGATCAAGAAAGTATAATGATAATTCATATTTGCGTTCGTTTAAAACAAGATTACCACGCAGGTTTGATATTCACAAAAACCTCGGAGGTCTGTCACTGGTTTAAGCTATACATTAAGATATGAATAAAACTGCATGTTTTTGTTATTGGTTCATAGATTTTTATCATCTGCATACTTTGGCATCAGTTGTTCTTAAAAGAGCAAACACTTTCAGCCTCGGCAATTATAAAACAAACGATAGCTTGACTTTGATTTCAGAAGGTAAGCACAGAGCAAATGGCTTTCGCGCCTTCACTCACGCTGGAATACTGTGGTGTTTTTATGTGATGGATAATGGCCGAAGACTGTCCATTATGTAAATAGAAAGAACAACAGAGGGGCGTTAGCCCCGAAGTCTTTCATTGTATTTACATAATGGACAGTCTGAGGCTATTATATATCTTAAAACATAGCACCATTGAGATACAAATAATGGATAGTTTTCTAAAACAACAAGCCATAAAATAATGGATATATTCTTAAAACAACATGCACATGCTCATGAATGCATGTGACAAAACACTCCAGTCATACAATGCAAGCATACACATACAGTCCAAAATATTCGACACGGAGACGACATGTTTATAACACAGTCGAAAACAAATATTAATAATGAGAATATATGTGATAAGCATTTGGATACTGATTACATTGGTAATGTACTCGATGTGGAAGATAATAGCCGTAAATAGTGTGATGTTCTTGATATGGGGGAATAATAGCCGTCAAAGTTGTGATGGAAAGGCTGCTCACGAGAATGATTAGATATTGATAATATTCCTAGTACTGTGGTTCATATGGAGGGTACTAGCCGTCCCAATTTTGATTTAAAATTTAATATATACTCTGATATAAGTGACAGGACACAGGATCAAAGGCACAAACCAATTCACGAAATTCAAACTCAACTGTCATTATGGTGTAACGGCGATATATTTGAACGTGTTTAGGTTCCACAGGCTTTTTTTGTTCAATCAGGGGCCATAATCCAAGACGTTAAGGTCCGATATGCGCCAATATCGCAAGGAATCGAGATTTTTGTGTTATAAACACACATGTTCAGTTGCAACAAAATGGGCCAATAATTGTGACCTCTAGTACAGTCAGAGGCAATAATCCATGAAGTTACGGTCCCATACAAGCCAATATCGAAAGGAACCGAGATCTTTGGGATATATACCTATATTTCAAGTTATAATCTGTAGAGTGCCCACAAAGAAGATGTGAAAATGTGGGCGTATAAAAACGTAACATCGATCTAGTCCGAACGTACTATTAAACGGACAAGTGACATATAACGGACGGATTTAAGTGGAATTCTTTATGACGACAAACACGTGAAATCAACATTCGGTTATGTGACATTTCGGTAACTATGAGGTTTTAAAGTAACGAATGCCAGTCAAGTCGCCCACAAGCAAAGTCATCCACACTAAAAATATGGTTAAGTCTTCCACACCCGTTGGTGGAGTTGTCCTCACTCGTTGGTGGAGTCGTCCACACGACTTAGTTTAATTTCGGGATATAGTAATACGTCGGTGAGATGTGCTCTGCGGGAAGAAAAGGTAGTGCAAACATTTTCCGAATGGTGCGGTATACAATGTCCTTTTCCTTGTAAGCCCGCTCTAAGCGGAAAGACACTCTGGGAACCACTCCACATCCCCCCTTCAAAATCCGCCACAGCACATCCCAACTTGAGGTTATCGTTACACATTTCCCTTATGGCCTCGAACACCTAAAATGACAAAAATATCAATATTTTATATTAAATGATTTAATATGTCTTTAATTTAATATCAATATTTAATATAAGTAATTTAATTTAATTTCAGTATCTTGTAAAAATAAATGACAATTTATGGTAAAAACATCATAAATTATTGTAAGCTTATTTTTAAATTATCTTGTCAATTATCTTGTAAAAATAAACAGTAAAAATAAACATACTACACCGGTTTGCCGTCCTCACTAGGTTATCCGGCTTTTTCAATCCAGCCAAAGGAAATGAAATGAAATGGGGTTTAACGTCCTACTGTTCTGCTCCTATACTGGGCTAATGAAGACGGGCATACGCCATACAGTGTGCTATGAGGGAAATTTTGCCCGGGCAGCGGCACTATCGCCTACTCTTATATCGAATTCCAACTGCCAAGGGATCTTTTACGTGCATTCCAATGTTTACACGGGACCTCGGTTTTTCGTCTCATCCGAAGGACTAAACAGCTGTCCTTGTCAGGCCCTCCGTCCTGCATCACTGACAAAGGGAAACCACGTCGGAAAATCGGGATGAACTTTCTCGGCCAATGCAGGGATCGAACACCCGACCTCCAGGCTAGCGAGCCAGCGCCTTAACCACCTAGCCACCGTGGCTCCCTCCAGCCAAAGGGGTTGTGTCACTAATGTGCTCAGCCATCACGTCCACCACAATTGCCGACGCCGTCCGAAACAAATCAACCTTGGCCTTTTGTATGATCTCATGTTCTGTAATTTAATTTGTTCAGATAATAAATTATCCCAAAATACATGTTCATTTTTCAGATAAGTGTCTATTATTGGTAAACCTGTCCATTATTTTCAATAAATATGGACAGTTTTATCAATTATAGACGATTGTTTAAGAAAAGCGTACATTCTCTTATAGACTGGTTAAAACATCAAAGGGTGACGTCATATCTATCTTTTAAGTTTAATTATTAACTACTATATATACTGTACTTTTCACCCATTATATTTTATTATACGTATATAATATGTATGTGTTTGCCATTATAACTATGTATATACACCCATTTTGCATTAATCATATATATATATACAAATTATTTAGGGAGAGTGGTTTTACATAGGCTAAGCCTGTTCCCCAATCCCATTCAGACAACCTGAATAAAAACATTGTTTAAAAAACAAAAGTTTGAAGCAGATCCTGATAATTTTGGGGTCGCCATTTTCCCAGTAATGATGACGTCATATCAGCTGTGAAGGACTTTTTTGGGGTGACTGAAGAAAATGTCTTCCTGATTGGCATTCAGGCCCTGTGTGTAAACCTCAAAGAGGACTATGTGAAAAAAAAATGGAAACCAGTTACTTTGTACAGGCCCTGTGTTCACAAAGCGTCCCCAGACTTAAGTTAAGAACTGACTCAAAATTGTTCGCCTTATTTTAACCAAAATATATCCCATTATAAAAATGTTGTTCTTTCCATGTATTAAATACATCAAAACGAAACTGTGTGCAAATTTTTGTGTTTCTGGATCAAAGATATTTTTCACAAACAGTGATTGAAATTTGAATAAATTCTTAACTTAAGTCTGAGAATGATTTGTGAACTCCGGGGCAGGTCTTTCTTTCACGGATAAGCGTAGAACTTTTCAGCCAGCCCCCGTAGTTTAATCGTTTTACTAGAGCTTTTAACCAATACAAATTATCCATTTATAAAAGTAGTGCATTTTATTATTGCGTCTCAGTTTATATAGGCAACTATTTAGTTTGTTACCCGGGCTAAATCTATTTGTTAAGGTCAGCACAATTTTTGACAAGGTCGTTAAGATTCAAATAAGTTTAGGGCATGTGATTGTTGGCGAGAATGTAGGTTAGGGTTAGGGTAAGCATTAGGGCTAGTTCCAGTATTAGGGTTAGGGTTCGGATTAGCGCTAGAACTGTTTACATCTCGTGACCTATGACGCAAAATTGCGCTAGGGTAAGCATTGGCCATAGATCCGTGGTTAGGGTTGGGATTAGCGCTAGCCCTGTTTTCATCTCGTGACCTATGACGCAAAACTGAGCAGGCCTTATCATTTAGCACTTACCTTGTTACCCATAACTTTACAAGTGTCATAAGGAAATTAACACTTTAGTTTATTATATTATATCTGTTTAGATATTGATGAACATTCTTGAAGAACTTAATAACACTGTTATAACCGGATGCAACTATAATAGTTATGTACAACAAGGAGTGGAGGGAGAAATAGAACTAGCTAGATACTGCACATCACATATCTTGTTAATTAACTGGAAGTTGCGGTAGAGCGATAAGTATGATGCTGGATCGCTATATAGGGGTCCCGGGTTTACTCCCTGTTTTGTTTGGCCGTGAGAGTTCCTAGGGATTTTCCAGTGCGGGTTCCCTTTGCCAGTGCTGCAGGACAGAGGACCCGACACGGACAGTGTCTAGTCGTTCGGATGGGATGATGAATTGAGATCCCGTGTACATATAGACATGCACGTAGAAGAACCAATGTCTCCGGTATTCTTTACGGCCTACTCATATTTCGAATTCCAACTGTCAAGGGTATTTTTACGTGCTCGCATGTGTACACGGAACCTTCAGTATCACAAAGCTACGACTTTAAAGTTTTTTTAATTTAAAGAATAAACGGGGATACTGTCAAGCAGCGTTAATGTATTTTAGTTGAAATTATGTAATTTCTGATTTTAGGTCGATCTCGAAAGTACGATATAACAACGTGATGTTTACAGCGAATCTAATTATTGTGTGGTGGCTTGTTTTACCAATCTGTACAACCGAACCTTTAACCAAAGATGTAAACAACGTCACCAGGCAGCCAGTTAGCCCGAACAAGCCAAACAACGTAACCTTCACAGCGGTTGATAATAATATTTCCTACGCTTTTCAGCTCAAAACTTACAATGGCGCAGATCGTATAGAAATCCACGCCGATATAGTCGCATTAGCAAAAAAACATCCTAGGTATTGGACTGTGGATCAACTGATACGATATTTTCCCATTGTACGCCTACTAGCATGCAATCAGCAATGTATAGGTGAGACGAATATAACCCTTGAGAAAATAAGAATACCGAATGATATTAGATGTGAGCCGTGTTATTGTGACGAATCGTGTAGTGTTTACGGCGATTGCTGCAGTGTTGGTGCAAGGACGTCTCACAAAAAAGATGGACAACAATGCATAAACAAAATCAAAAACACGACAATGGAAAAAGGATTGCTAATGATGACGTCATGTCCCGACAACTACACCGACGATCATGTGCGAGATTTATGCGAACTGCCATCAGATGGCTGTGGTGTATTGCCTGTGACGTCATCAAGTGGGATAACATATTTGAATAAATATTGTGCTGTATGCAATTATGATAAAGATTATAATGACTGGCAACTTAATATGGAAGCCGGTAACAACAGACTTGACTTGAGCGACATGATAACGGATGTGTTCACGTGTAGACGACGTACTTACATAAAGCAGCCTTCCTTAGTACAGGACAGGGTAGTCCAAGCAAACACATGTGACCCAGGTTTGATAACCCGATGTCAAACACCTCTATTTTCAAGGGCTGACTTGGGTCCGAGCGAAATAGCACAACTCCAGAAATTAGAGAAATTAGAGAAAAGTTACCAATCAAATTGTCATCGACTCCATGATCCTATACACACTTCAAAAGATGGGAATTTTTTGAATATTTTCTGTTATGTTTGCCGAATCTATTACAACAGCCTATCGCCGGCCATAACCGGTTTAACAAACCTTAAACTTGATGTTGTTCATCATGTTTCAGTTTATCACCATGTCGAGCTGGTTCGTCCAATAGAGTCTAATTCAACGGAAAGGTGCAGTCGTCCTGACGAGTGGTTTCATCCGTATCAGGTAAGTTGTAGTTATGAATCTATTCCCAGGGGGAGTAGGGTCACCTGTCCAACCTCGCGGGTTTTCTCCGGGTCCTCCAGTTTCCTTCCACTGCTAAAGACCCCTACGCGCAAGCGAATTATTGAAATAAAATTGAACCATGTATTAGTCCAGAAATGACCTAGTTTGTGTCGAGTGGACGTTACCCCCTCTCTCTCTCTCTCTCTCTCTCTCTGTCTCTCTCTCTCTCTCCAGAGGGAGCCACCATGGCTAAGCGAATAAGGCGCTGGCGGTCATGGTTTTTTACTTCCCGCGAAAATTCCTCGGACAGCGCCTTGATGGGACGAAAAACCGAGGCCCCGTGTGTATCCGTTCGCGTGGACGTAAATTAACCCCAGACAGTTGGAACTCAATTGCTGGGGCTTGCTGCAAAGTAGGACGTTAAGCCCAATTTGATTCAACAATTCCTATCCCTATAAAAACGTTAACAGTGAGCTCCCCCACCCCACCCCAATGGACTAGTTACTTCTTAGCATTTAAAACCCTCTACAGATTTGATTTTTTTTAATATCACCTTATTATAATTCCAGAAAAGATGTTATAGAATGTTTTGCTCAGATTGGTTAGTACTTCAAGCTGATGAATGTGTTCCCATGCAAGGTGATCGTGGGTTATTGTACCACGTACTTATTACAATAGACGATGGTCTCGTCACATCACAAATAGAACATCTAACAAGTCGTATAAAAAAGGATTTGCGGACGTTAGGGATTTCCAAATATTTAATATCTGTCGGAATACTTGACGAAACAAATGCGAATTATTCGTCTATCCGTTTATACTTTGCCCTCTACTCTTCTCAGTTCAAAACCTTATCCAAATTATTATCTTTTGTTCATGAAAATTGGACATTTGGTCAACAAATAACATTAGATTCGATTTTATCGCAGAGTTGGCGAACGTTACAAGAGATCGTTTCTGATGTTTTGTTGCAAAGTTGCTGTAAGCAAGAAAAGTTTGATGATTTCGATTACAGTTCGATTGTTGAACTTAATGATCTGTATGTGTGTCCCCATATATTGCAAAACGGCTCCGAATTTGAAGACGTTGGCAATGGCTCAATAGCATTGTTCAATACAAGTTTAACATTAAATATAGGGCAATATTGGAATGGTTCCAAAGGTTTTATTAAGATCTGTGTAGATACGCTTAATGACAAGTGGCAGTTTTCTTTACAGCAGAGTAACACTGAATCACCTCCGGATGAATATCTCAACATTAACAACACAAAACTGGAATCACCCCGTGTTGATTTTGAACATATGTTCTCCATTTTCCAATTAACTATTCTTGTCGTGTCATTACTTCCGTTATTTCTAACGTTTCTAACATATTGCATCTTCCCTGTTCTGCGGACATTGCCTGCACAAAACAACATGGCGCTCGTCGTTTGTTTGTTTCTGGCACAACTGCTGTTGGTGATCGGAAGCTATCTGACGACAGGCACTATTATTTGTAAAGTATTTGGCGTACTTATTCATTATTCGTGGCTCTGTGTTGTCTTTTGGATGAATGTCTGCTCATTTCATATGTTTTCGGTGTTTAGGGCATCAAAGGCAGCTAGAAGCTCACGTTCTCCTAAACGAATGATAAAATACGTGTTGTACACTAATGGTCTATCCTTGCTTATAGTTGTTATGGTGATTGCCTTGTCTTTAGTTTTTTACGGTACTATTGGTTACGGCAGAAGGCAGTGTTACTTAGATAAAACATTTTTAGTGGGCGTGGCCTTTATCTTGCCCCTGTCTTTAGTTATTGTATGCAACTTAATTTTCCTATCACTAACAATATTCTCGATCAACAAGACCTCTAAAACGGCGAGTCTTGCTGGAAAAGATCGGCATCATGCTAAGGTCTATATCAAACTATCAACCGTAACCGGTATCTTCTGGACAGTCGATATCCTCTCGAACTTTTTCTGGCGTGACCCTTTGAGGATCATATCCACTATCTTGAACTACAGTCAGGGTATTTTTATTTTTCTGTCATTTATGGCAAATAGACGAATTGCCAAATTATGGCTGGGTCTATTTATAAAAGAAACCCCTAAAAATGGGCCTGCAACACCAAATGTTAGCAATAGCTCGAAATCTGTAACAACCACAAAACTAACCGGCGATGACAATAAAAATTAAAGTGATTTAACTTAAAGGTGCATTATGTAAGATTTAGATAATAGTTTAAAAATAGATTATGAAAAGTGAATATATTGAAAATTTCAGTCAAATTACTTAATTCGGAGCGAAGTTATGGCTGTTTGAAGAATAGCGGAGTCTCGATTGTCATTGCTACAGTTGTTACGATAGTAAGCAAGTCTTGATTATCCATTTTTTTGATTAAATTATTAAACGACTAACTTTTTTCAATCCACTGAAAATCGCGAGCATCCGATGTTCTAGAGAGTTGACTGTGGTCTTGTCATGTTAATAAATGTCTAATTAATAATTTATATAAACATTTGAGGACAAAAGAAAGACCTGCAATAAGCAGATTTAGCTCTTACATAATGCATATTTAATTCCGCATTGACTTTCAATGACATTTATGTATATATTAAACTGTTCATAAATTTATATGCCGTAAATAAGAATGAAGTCATAACGTTTGGTAACCAACGATAAAGTGCTATATTTTGTATTTGAGTTTGTTTGATATACTGTCAGTAATATAAATACACTGTTTATTTAGAGTTATGGCAGATTGTTATTGTATATTGAGTTAATTCGATATATAGTTATTACCATATTATGTTTTTGCATGTTGAGTTAATTAGGAATTTAGTTAATATCATTTTATTTCATTCAGGTTAAGCTAATTTCGTATATAGTTATTACCATATTATATTTTGCATGTTGAGTTAATTCCGTATAATAGCCATTACCATATTATGTTTTGCATGTTGAGTTAATTCCGTATATATAGCCATTACCATATTATGTTTTGCATGTTGAGTTATTTTCGTATAAATCCATTACCATATTATGTTTTGCATGTTGAGTTAATTCCGTATATATAGCCATTACCATATTATGTTTTGCATATTGAGTTAATTCCGTATAAAGTTATTAACACATTATGTTTTACATGTTGAGTTAATTTGACATTTAGTTATTACCATATTATGTTTTTCTGAATGTTGAGTAAATTATATAGATAGTGATCACATTTCGCATGTTGATTTTGTTCAATATTGTATCGAAATTTTGCTGGTTTGTTCGATATAGGAAAACCAAACGACCTAAGTTAGTTTTAGTTAGTTTTTTTTAAAAAAAAAAAAACCTTCATAATAAAGAGTTTTTCACAAGCAATTTAGTCGTGATATTTATTTTGTACTTGCGCAGAATTTAAATCTCATTGCAGTGGGTGTTAAAAAAGGAGTTTTGGCACCAGTGAAACATCGGGTAATTAAGCTAATGTTTCCCGCTACGGACCGTTTGATATAAGCTAGTTCACCCACAAATATCTTAAAGCGACTGTAGAATAAAATGAAAGTGTAAAATCAATCGAACTCAATGCAAACTTTAAATGGCCATAACTTAATTAAGTTAGAATCGATCTATTTGAATGCTTGGCGTTAAACACTAAGAACACCCACTTACCAATACAAATAAAATACGAGGGCTGGCTGAAACGGCTGAAAAGTAAAATCATTGAATCAAACATAGATATAAGAACTGCAACTGTATCGTTATCATTGTCTTTGTACCAGACCATCTTGTAATCCTACCCATTGAAATCACCAGAAATGGACAAAACTGGCTATAGGGCAGTCATCGAATATCTGCAACTGAAAGGACTAACCCCAGTACAGATAGATACATAGCGGCATGGTTTCAACTTTAGGGGATGGTGCCCCTTCCTTGCCCACAGTGCTGAAGTGGCAGAGAGAGCTGTGACGATGACCCGCGTCCTGTAAGGCCATGCCATCAACAGCAAATATCCACGAAACCATTACCCGGGTGCATGACATGGTCGTGGCTATCGACGATTGACCACTTGGCATTTTGCCAGAGTTGTGGGCATCTCTTATGAGACGGTTGAGCATGTTATCGCCACCAAGTTAGGAAATAATGAAATACAATCTGTGCAGTTTTGAAGCTGATCCTTCGATCCCTGCATTGGTCGAGAAAGTTCATCTAGATTTTCCGGCGTGGTTCCCCCCTTGTCAGTGAAGCAGAACGAAGGGTCAGACAAGGACAGCTGTCTAGTCGTTCGGATCGGACGAAAAGCCAAGGTCCCGTGTACACATTGGCGTCCACGTAAAAGATCCATTGACAGTTAAATTCGATATAAGAGTAGGCCGTAGTACCGCCGTCCTAGCAAAATATCCCTCATAGCACACTGTATGGCGTATGCCCGTCTTCATTAGCCCAGTTCGGACAAGAACAATGGGACGTTAAACCCCATTTCATTTCATTTCATTTTTAAGCAGACGTTAACACTAATATTTTTAATCAGGTCCATAAGTTTATAGATATGTCAAACAGATTTTAGTCTCGATCAAATAATATTTCATCGTCTATTTTATGTATAATTATGGCTAGTCTCTCTAATGTTGCCTATTATTAACAAATACTTACTATGGTTGTATATGTGATGGATAATGGCCGAAGACTGTCCATTATGTAAATAGAAAGAACAACAGAGGGGCGTTAGCCCCGAAGTTTTTCTTTGTATTTACATAATGGACAGTCTGAGGCTATTATCAAACTTAAAGATGGGTTCCCAGAAAAGTATTTATAGGGTGGTTATTTCCAATAAAAGTATGGCAATTTTGATATATATGGAAAGTAGAGATATCCAATCTTACTAGAAAAATACTGGATTCCCCGAAAAACACTCATGGAGCGTATACAACAGCCCGACGATTAGGAACTTCTGCACGCGTGATGTCAAAGGTCACAAGCGAACATTGAGCACTTGATGTACAAGTTGATAAACCTTATGAAGAGTTAGACGTACAATACTTTCTGAGATAAAAATGACGGAAAAAGACGCGGGTAGTGGATAATCCGAGAATTTAATTAGGATTCGATATTTGTAATAAATAGTAAGCGATTAAAGACAACATCCTCTTATGTATGCAATGAATTCTCCTCTGACTCCCAAGACGTGACGTAAACATGACCTGGTTTGATCGAATTTTAATAGCATGGCATTCCTTCGCAATTAAAATGTTTGAGAAGGATTTGAAGCATAACTATTAAAAATTAATTAGTTTGAATATGTTTTTGGTCCATATATACCATTAAATCACCCAGTTTGTACGCGCGAACCCATCTTTAAAACATAGCACGATAGAGATACAAATAATGGATAGTTTTCTAAAACAACAAGCCATAAAATAATGGATATATTCTTAAAACAACATGCACATGCTCATGAATGCTTGTGACAAAACACTCCAGTCATACAATGCAAGCATACACAGACAGTCTAAAATATTCGACATGGAGACGACATGTTTATAACACAGTCCAAAAACAAACATTAATAATGAAAATATAGACTAATGTCCGAAAGAAAGTATACACTGTGCATTTTGTGCTGCATCAACCAAAGTCGTTTTTCCATGGTATACGGTATTTGGGTAGAATGTCAATTTGTTTCACATTTTTATTTTGCTTAGAAATGTTGAGTTTGGACGCAAGAGACAAACCCAGTAATGCTTTATCAAATGTTTTTAATCTAAACAAAACATAGTCATACTTTTAGTGTGTATACTTTCTTTTGGACATCAATATATGTGATAAGCATTTGGATACTGATTACATTGGTAATGTACTCGATATGGAAGATAATAGCCGTAAATAGTGTGATGTTCTTGATATGGGGGAGTAATAGCCGTCAAAGTTGTGATGGAAAGGCTGCTCACGAGAATGATTTAGATATTGATAATATTCTTAGTACTGTGGTTCATATGGAGGGTACTAGCCGTCCCAATTTTGATATATACTCTGATATAAGTGACAGGACACAGGATCAAAGGCACAAACCAAATCACGAAATTCAAACTCAACTGTCATTATGGTGTAACGGCGATATATTTAAAAGTGTATACGTTCCACAGGCTCAAAACACGTTTTTTTTGTTCAATCAGGGGCCATAATCCAGGAAGTTACGGTCCGATATGCGCCAGTATCGCAAGGAAGAATCGAGATCTTTGGGTTATAAACACACATGTTCAGTTGCAACAAAATGGGCTAATAATTGTGACTCTAGTGTGTACAGTCAGGGGCAATAATCCATGAAGTTACGGTCCTATACAAGCCAATATCGAAAGGAACCGAGATCTTTGGGATATATACCTATATTTCAAGTTATAATCTGTAGAGTGCCCACAGAGAAGGTATGAAAATGTGGGCGTATAAAAACGTATCATCGATCTAGTGCCGAACGTACATATAACGGACGGATTTAAGTGGAATTCTTTATGTAGACAAACACGTGAAATCAACATTCGGTCACGTGACATTTCAGTAACTTCATGTTCTGTAATTTAATTTGTTCAGATAATAAATTATCCTAAAATACATGTTCATTTTTTAGATAAGTGTCTATTATTGGTAAACCTGTCCATTATTTTCAATAAATATGGACAGTTTTATAAATAATAGACGATTGTTTAAGAAAAGCGTAGCCTACATTCTCTTATATACTGGTTAAAAACATCAAAGGGTGACGTCATATCGATGTTTTAATTAATTTTACAACAATTATCTACAATTTTGATATGCAATTAGTAGTAATAGTAATAGACACATACATAATAGATCATTTTGTGTTTTAACGCTTGTATGTGTTCTTCATAACGGCAAAATACCGGATATAAGTAATAATAATAAAAAAAAAACCCACCCGCTGATTTTTAAATCAGATTAAAAAATTTAATGCGCTTTGAATAAAAAATGAATAATTTATATTCGCTGTAATTATACGTATTATACTTTAGATATACATTTACTCTTTGTAATTCCATCATTATTTAATTTGGTGCGGTTTAACCCACAATTAAAGTTAATTCCATTTAATCTATTTATGGAGAATGTGACATGTAAAAATACTTCCGTTTAATTTTTTTAGTCAAATAATTTTTCTGATAAATAGCGGAAATCATCACAAATAATCCACCACCCACCCAGAGAATCATCATGCAAAAAACACAATAGAGGAAAAGTTTCAATTGTATAGGTCTACTTTATACCAGGTACTGTATGTATAGTGCGATGGACGCATATGGTCGACTCACATGATTAGAAAATAAAATGACGGCCTATTGTTCTGTTCCGTCTGGCCTAATGAAGTCGGGCATACGCCATACAATGTGCTATGGGGAAAATTTTGCCCGGAAAGCGGCGCCATGGCCTACTCTTAATTCAAATTCCAACTACCACGGGATCTTTTACGTGCACGCCAATATGTACCTGGGACCTCGATTTTTCTTCCTCTCCGAATTGCTATACGTTGTCCCTTTCAACTGACAATGGTAACCACGCCGGAAATAACCGAGGAACTTTCTAGACCAACACCGAGATCATACACGAGACCTCCACGTCAGCGAGTCAACGTCTTACTGAGCCACCGAGACGTCTTACTCATTCAGCCATCGCGGCTCCCCACATGATTAGACAGTTGCAATATACCATGTTTTTTTTTCTTGTCCCGTAGGTATCTCGGTAATTGTTACGTGTACTGTGGTGTAACTATTCATTAGCAATGATTAAACATACATTATGCAAGAGCTAAATCTGCCTATTGCAGGTCTTTCTTTAGGCCTGAAATGTTATCTAAATTATTAATTAGGTATTAATTAACTTGTCCAGACCATAATCATCGTTAGCCTGTGATATTTACTGGATTAGGATCCGATTTGCTGCTCAACTTTCATTCATGATTAAATCATGAAATGGATAATTGATACTAAGTTTTTTATCGTACCGACTTTAGTAGTGATGGTGGTCGAAAATTCAATCGCTAAATTCTCGGTTCAGAGTGGATCAATTTAACAGAAATTTTCAGCAAATTCCCTTTACATTATCTAGTTTTTAACTATAATAGCCAGAACTTCCATCTATTTATCTAATCTCCCTTAATGTATCTTTAATATTCCCAGCATCGGTATAAAAGCTGAAATGTTGTTTTGTTTTTTAAATACATATTATTTGTTATTAATTGCCTATTGTTGTAGAATGATAATATTTAAAAGAAATTATATATAAATCGTATGCCAGTGCAATAAACAATAGCGCTAAAATAATGTATTTTACAA